GGGGGGGGGGGGGGGGGGGGGGAAAAAGAGGGGGAGAAAAAGGGGGGGGAGGGGGGGGGGGGGGAAACCGGGGGGGGGGGGGGGGGGGGGGGGAGGTAGGGGGGGGGGGGGGGGGGATGTACTCATGTACACGCACGCCGTTGTCGTTGGACCATTGACGTCGCGTCCCTACAAAGCCGGGACGGAGCGATGTGCCAGGTTTTCGCCCGCCCAGGCTATCTACAATTAAGTTTAAGTTTACCAAGGATGAGCCAGAAGCTGATAGTGCCATCATCCTTGCATTTGGCGGGGGGGCATTTTACGTTTGTAGTCGAAGTGGATTGAGTCACAAAGGAAGGATCATTGATTTGAAAAGACATTGTAGAGCCAACGGCGACGACCAAGTCAAAGAAGCCAAGCAGGCGGTGGGGGCGAGGGGGTGGGGGAAGGGGCTACATAGCAGTCAGTACAACCAATCAAGGATACAAAAAGTAGGTCGTACGTACAAGACTGCCGTGAATTCATTTGCCAAATATATTTCGTTGCTATTTAGTTTAGTGTTTTGGCCTGGACTTGTTTTTTTATGTGGAAAGGTCGAGATGAATTTTGTATTGATGGTGTCGTGAGGACAAAAAGAACAGTATCTCTCAATCAACATCTCGTGTACCAACTTACCCACCGAGATCATCGCCTTCCCAACAACCACCATGTCATCGATACATATCACCCCCACGAGCTCAAGAAATTCCTTCGCAAAATGGGCCAACTGCATGGAACCGATGCATGCGTATCTTTACGCACGCAAGCAGGCAGTACTGGGCAGCTGGGACGGGGTACGGGCACAGCGGCGCGGCGGGAGAAAAGTGGGACGTTGACGCGTACCTCGCGGCGCAACGGGAGCAAGATCGGCTCAAGGAAGATCTGCTGCAGGTGTGTGCTATTTATGCGATTTTTTTTTTTTTTTTTTTGCTCCCATTATTGGTCTCTGTCGTCTGCCCCTCTGGCCCCTATCCTCCACTTCTACCAGCTAGACGACCCAACCGGGGTCACATAGGAGGGGGGGTTGGACCCCCTCCTGCGGTTCCTGCCTGAGATATTTTTTATCGATATATGTATGTGTGTGTTTCTATCTGTGAGTGTAGTAAATAGCATCGACAAGGACTATTCAACCAGCAGTATGAATAGTGCATCGCGGTTCTGTGTGTGGGTGTTTGTGTGTCTTCTTGCTGCTGTTGGTTGGCGCGAATGTTGACGTACGGCAGTGGTGCGCGCGGTTTAACGACCCCCTGGTTAGCGGCATGCCCTGTAAAAGACGGTCTTGGCTACCGTCAAGGCATCGTCAACTCCTATAGTTGCTCTGACATACGCACCCGGCCTCGGCAAGCCGTCAACCGGCGACGTCAACTCCCATCTTCGCACCCTTGCTTGTTGTTTCCACACAACGCGAAGGAAATCGCGTACCTGATGAGACCCGACGAACGGCATGCCTTCCCGGAGTTTGCCGCGTTGAAGAGGAAGTCTGCGCTCCCGACCCCGCCGCCACCGCCGCCGCCGCCTGCGGGAGGCTCGAATCCAGAGGAAGAGTTGGAGGAGGAGGAGGGGGATGGGGAGGGTTCCGTTGTGGCAGGTAAAGTACGGCAGACTCTGTCGGGTTCAAGGGGAAGGGGGAGGGTCGCTGTTGCAGGAAGCGGGAAGCGGATTTTAGGAGGGGGTTTAGTAAGAAGCGGCTTATCCCGACCGTGAGAATTGCGTACCGTATTATGTTGCCATCCCATGGTGTATTTCATGGTACGGTTTAGACGAAACCGGCCGTACTGAAGGAGAGCGTTTTTGGTCTATCCCAACCCTCTCATAGCTTAGGCCGTAGCCGCCGCTGTAGCTATTTCGCTGGGTTATGCGGCAAGCATCCGTGATAGCCACCCGGGGTCACGTCGCTCTCCGATCAGTACGACCAACGTCACCCCCTGTGGCTGATTCGAGGTACAATAATTTTCCAACTTGTAGCCCCCCTCCTCTATGCAACACTGGTGCTGCTGTAGATTGGACGCCACGTCACAGGGGTACAGTTGGGTTTGGTTGTCATCGACACTCTATTGCAAGGGGCGTTTGGACAGAATAGATGCCATATAATACATTAGAGAGAGAGAGAGAGAGAGAGAGAGAGAGAGAGAGAGAGAGAGAGAGAGAGAGAGATTGGGTTTACTTGTCATCTCCGCGTTGACACGATGCCAGCTTCTTCGAAAGACCCCCGTGCACGATTGTAGATTCTCCTCGCGTTGGTGTTTCCTATGAAATGACACAGCGGTATCCGTCACTGTTAATTGTTAGGTTTATGTGTGTTTTAAACTACTCTTCCCTGTGTTGTTTTGTCGTTTTGTCTAGATATGCTTTTTATGAGTGATGTCAGTTGAAGATATACATATTTTTGTCGATTTCAATGATAACGCTGTTTGTCTCAACCGCCGCCGCCGCCGCCGCCGCCGCCGCTGCTGCTGCTGCTGCTGCTACCGTCGTTGTCGCTGTTGTAGCCGGCAAACGAAAAGGGAAAGGCAAGGCTCGAGGGCAGGTGGGGAGAGGCGAAGAAGCAGCAGGGGTTTCCGCTTCCCCGGCGGAGGCGAACGGAATTGGGCCTGGAGACGGGGCGGGGGGCGGGGGAGGGGGGGGAGAGGGGGGTCCCGCGAAAGAGCGCATCGACCCCAGCGGGAGAAAGAGAAAAAAACTCACGTTTGCTATGGAGGAGTACAGGTATGTTGTTGATGCTGTTGATGTTGTTGTTGTCGTCGCATCCAATACGGTTCCGCTCTCTACTCAGCGCCTTTTATGTAACGTCAGGTTGTCTGGGATGTAAGGCCGGCCGAATCCCTTGGCGCAGACGCCAGAAAGTAATTTTAGCGTCGCGCATGCATCTGTGCGTACAACTGTAAAATTTTCTTGTCGTTTGATGTCACGCGTGCGAACTGCCGTCTGCCGTGTGCGCCACGTCAGGGTGGACAGCGTGAACTCGAGCCTGAGGGTGTTGGAAGAGTCGTGTCTGGTGCCGTTCCTGCAGCAGCTTCTCGAGAACGACTCGCTCCTCGATGTCGACAGGCACGCCGCCCTCTACACCTCCGTCTTCAAGGTGACCGACTTGACTTGTTAGGACATGTTAGGGTACCTTCTGAACTTTAGATAGGCACGCCGCCCTCTACCTCCCGTCTTCAAATTGACCGACTTGACTTGTTAGGACATACGGTATTGGGGTACCTTACGAACGGTAGATACGGTGGGCACGCCGCGCCCTACACCTCCGTCTTCAAGGTGACCGACTTGACTTGTTAGCTCGAGGGTTCATGTTGCTTCCGACAGCAGCCCACATGCCACCTGTTTTAGACACATGAGAGGACCTTTCGAATCTCATGGCAACAGCCACTTTGGGCATTGTGCCTTCCGACCCTCTGAACAACAGCTATAATACATGCCACAGGTTAGGACGAAGCTTAAGTTTTCGGCGAAGACACTCTAGGGTAAGGGGATTCATAATCGAACTTGAGAAGAGAGGAAATAATTCGAAGTAGACCCGGAATTCGGGCCCAAACAACAAGCATAAGTTGAAGGTACAGCTGCCGTCCCCGCTTGAAGGACACTGGCCTCACGGATTTGCAAAACATTAGTACCCCCCCCCCCCCCCCCC